ATATATTTATCTTTATTTAAGATCCGCTTCTTTGTGCTCATCTTTTTTAAATCGTCACAATATTGATGCAGTGCATCGATTAATTGAGGCTTTTTTACAATACAAACAAGACGCTGCCTGCGCTGAGTGCCTCAGTTTGTTATTCAATTATCAATGTAAGAGCAAATAATGCAGTAGTTAATTTTATATTGCAATAAAAATTATATGTATCTTTTTTTAGATCAACGTAAAGATTTACGAGCTTGTGCTGAAATCGTCAAATCATGTAGTGAATTGGAAATGCCATTGAGCGAATTGCAAAATGAACAGTTTCTTACGCTGTTTCTCAGCCAAACCGAATCGCCATGTGAAAATGTCAGCAAATCGATACCATCCAACCTGCAAAAGCCGTACAAACAGTTCCAGTATAAATTTTAAGCAATACTTGCGGTACATTTTTGTACCTTACATTTTTTTAGTAGAATCGTAGTTGCACACTTGTTACTTTTTAGACTTTCTTTACAATATTAAGACCGAAAAAATTCTATTACAATTTTGAGAGCAATCACTGGTTTTAATGTAAATTGCATGCACTAAAGTTTCGTTTAGGTTGTAAGCGTTAAAGCAATACTTTTGCAATATTTTCACTATGTAGTCAATAAAGATTAATTGTTGCAAATTAATAATAACTTTCTTTATATGAATAGTTTAAATTAAAATATTTATATATAATTATATTATTTTTGTCTAATGACAAAATGGATCTCTAAGATGATTCTAGTTTGACGATACATTGAAGTGAAACAATTTCAAGCGTATGGTCTAGCATTAACATTCATTTCGCACGAAAATTTGAACCAAAAATCTAAATAAAAATTTATTTCACAAAATTTGCTTATATGGAAGCTTGTCAATTTCTTGCGCTTGGATTAAGTATTTTGGGCCAAGTACTAAAAATTTTGTTATTACTAGACTTAAGTAGATAAGCTACCTTCAAAATGATTTGTGTAAATAATAGTTAATTACGATTTTTAATAATTTAGTTAAACTATTTCTTGATATCGCAATTGCACTAAGGAAATATTTACATAATTTGTTAACAAATACTTTGGGAAGTACAATTATTTAGAACCAAAAGATAACATCACAAACATCACCGAGAGTTTTTTTACAGTTCATTCAATTTATTTTTTTAATTATTTAAACATTTTTAAATTTGTGTTAATTCTAAATATAAATAAATAATTAAATAATAATTAATATTTGTGAAAAATATTAATATTTAAAAAAATACTTTGTAACGAAAACAAATTTAAAATATTTAAAGTGTTTGAAGAAAAAAATTCAACTGACGGAAGACTATAATGATGATATTATGGTTTTATATTTAATAAATTATATTTAATTAATATAAAAAAAATTAAATGAATCACATCCTATGCTTCTAGGCCCGTGCAATCAGCGCACCGCATTAGTAAGTGTTTGCCACAAAGTGGACGAAGGCATTGCTGGCAACGCGTACGTGTTTTACAGGACTTCGCACTTGGGCACTTGCGACAACGTTTCCGATTCTCACAGTGCTTCGACATAAGTGTAACATCCTCAGGCAGTTTTACTTTTTCGGTTTGTATCTTGCCAACGGCATTGTTACTTTTGTCACCTCCTGGTATTTCGTTGAGGAACTTTTCGGTAGGTTCACCTAACATTTCGCAAATAAGCAGTTTCTGCATTAGCGGAAGTTTCTTATTATTTTCTAGTCGACGCTTGAGATGTTGTTGGGTCAGATACAATCCTAATTGCCGTAGGAAATCTCGTTGCAAGAACGCAGCATCGCCATTCGCAGAAAGTCTCAGCAATATCCATGCATTGAACGCGGCAATGTCGAGTATGGCATGGAAAAGCCGCAACGTCCAACCATTACTTTTGCATGTGCCTGCATTGTTTGTACTGTAAATTTTTGACTTTTGCTGGAACCGTTGACAACTGTCTTGAGTACACCTAAAAAGTTTTGACGCATCTATTTTGGGTAACACACCACCGTTCAAAATAAAACATAAAGAATTGTCTTCAGCAGTCGATTTATGTAATGATAACGAAGAGCTCTCGCCGTATAAAACTGTTGCCGTTTTATTTGAGATAAACTGTTGTGGTATATCCGTCGATGTAGGCGATAGTTCTCCTAACACTGTGAGCTCCTTTCCCCTTAAAAGTTTTGCTATTTGTAAACTTGTGTAACTCTTCTCAAATACAATGTTTCTTTTTGTTCCTTTAATATCACATATTAACTGCAAAACGTCGCGTTCAATTCCCGAGGGCTCAACTCGCCAAATGGCGTTGCACATATAAAGTGTCTTGGTATCACAAAGAGTTATCATGCGTAGCTCACTATTTTTCACATTAGCAGGCATTAAGGAGTTACAGTCGAATTGTGTTTCATCTACGACTATAATATTTTCACCAATAGCACAGTTTCCAGATGGCGCATAGAATGAACGACAATTTATTAAAAATTTCTCCCATATATGATGAACACAATCTATCGATATCGTTGCGTTCTCAGACTTAATTTCAGAGAAGCGTATCATCTCACTTATATATTCATACCTCTTAAATGACATTGCTGAACGGAAAATAACATTTCCTAATTCAAGCGTCCAAAGTTCCTCTAGAGGTCCATTATATTGTGAATTACGAAATATTCCAATTAGATAAGTCAGTCCAATCCACACACGCAGCTCGATCAAATCAATTGTATGTTGATATGTAGTTCTATAAGCATTATGCGAACGTATCTCATCATTAGTGAACTTAACAATTCGTAGTAAAATGGGTTCATCTATTAACAGATTCCAAGTCTCTAAAGGATTACTAACCTTGCTCGATGGCCCCTTTCCTTGTGGCTTGATAGAAAAAAATTGACATTCCCTGCATACCTCTTCTACAGCTCTGGTTGTCCATACATAACCACTTTGAGCTATAATTTCTTCATTTAGATGTCTTTTTCTACTCCGGCCAATAGAGATTTTTTGAGTTTTTAACAAAGCATTGCCTTCATCTTTGTGTAAAAAATCACTTTCGTTGTATTCACCTACAAATTTAGTGTTTGAATTTTGTACTTTGTCTTCTAAAGGATCATCGTTGTTGTCAAATGGTTTCTGTTCAGGTATCAATAGTTCCTCCTTTTTTACAGGACTTTCTACAACTATATCTAAAAATTCGGATAGATGAACGACACTGTCCGTGTCTTCTACTTTCACATTTATTAAAATCTCCTTTGAATCGTTAACTTTCATAACATTACAGTCAGAACTCATTTTAACTTGAATTTTTCCATTAAATCGAATTTAAATATTATTATTCCCTAAACAGCATCAAAATAAACACAACAAAAATGCACAATAGCGAATTAAGGGGTTAAACGAAATAAAACAGAGTTGTTATAAATTCAAAAAAAATATAAACAAGTTCGAGAGGGCAAGTTCCTCTCAAATTAAGGCCGTGTGCGAGTTCGAGTAAATTGAGGTAAAGTAAATTAAAATTTCATACGGATTTCGTGCACTACACTTATGTAAATATTTATTTATTTATTTATTGCACTTATTAATTATTTGTGGTTAAAAGTTTTCAAATTTATTTATTAATTTACCCAGTTTTTATTTAATTTACTCTACTTGAAATTCTGTTAATACCAATATTCACAATTTTCACCATTTACCATCAATTTATTCGAACTCGCACAAGGCTTAAGCACCAATTATTGTAATAAATTTTTTGTTAATTATAATAAATTAAAACGACTAGTTTGAACATCTTTTTCGAAAAATTATGATATTTCTAATTATTGCGATAAGTTAATTTCTACATCTGCGCGAATTTTAAAATCTATTACAATCAATTTTATTAATTTATTTATTTGTGAGTTAACAATGAAATTAATTTTAAAGTTAACTAAGAATAAGAAACTGGACTGCTAGGTCCTTCGCCATTACAATCAATTTTTTAAATATTAACGCAAAAAAAATGCCGTCAAATGGCAAGACACTCAAAATTTAAAATTAATCTTAAGATATGTACGCAATGTTTAAAAGCAATGTTTTTTGTTTATATTAAAATGGATGTTGAACTACTTTTAGTATATTAAAATGAATGTTGAACTACTTTTAGTAAGCCAATTACAGGGATTAACACGACCTTAAGATTGATTTAAGACCCTTAAAAAAACTTTTAAGACTTGCATATTTTTTAACCGCCGATTAACCTTAAATATAGGTTAACCGTATTTTGAGTTGGTTAGCGGGATTAACTGAAGATATTCAAGCAGCTGATTTTCGTTGATTTACAGATTTAATTTAGTTCGAATTCTTTTTTGAATCTCCAAATTTTGTAAATTTTGTATTTAGGTGTATGCTTAAAATAATATTCACTTTAATTATAAATTTATATAATAAATAAATTGAAAATCAATGTATTGATCGAGTAAACATTTCAGTTGGAAACTCCAAACATTGTAATAGCCTACAAGTTATCTTATTCGTTGTGCAATTAACGAAACTAGATTAATACCATGTTTACATTGTGAGATTAACAGTAGATTTAAGCAATCATCGAGGTTAAAGTATAAATCTATTTGTTTAATTAAATTACAGCTTTTCCATACAAAAGTTCGTTTTGGACTAGCTTAATTTAAAATCTCTTTAGAAATGATGATTATATTTCTGTGCAATTTTGCAAATGTCTTAATATCATAAATTTTTTTACGATATTAGAAAAATTAGAAGAAATCTGTTCAAAACAATCAATCAAAATTAAAAAAATGAAAATTTATTTAATAATAGTTTTGTACATAATTATAACTTAAATTTATTAAATTTTTGTTATAAAACTATTTATTAAATTTATATTATAATTTTTTTGTACATAAAGCTACGTTTACATTGCGAAACTAAGAAAACGAGATTAAGTTAATCTTCATTTAAGTTCGGCGGCGAAATAAAATTCGTTGCATAGTTTAAAAATAAAACGTTAGCATATGTAGGCGGCGTCTATATCACTCTTAAAGAAATTTTTTACTGTCCATGTCATTCTTAAAGAATTTTGTACTGAGATGTGTATAATTTAAGTACCGAAACATCTCAGTAGCGACTTTCTTGTACAGGAGAAAATAGACGAGCGGGTAAAAGGATTCAGGAAAATATTGAAAAGTTTACAGATTATGAATAAAATTTGCTATTTTCATATTTTATATTTTTTAGAAGGATATCACATAGCAGTAAGACCCTCTGCAGCAGATACCACAGACTATTTCAACTACAAATGATGGTATTCAGTTGTTCTTTTAGCTTTCGTTGATTACAGGTAATTAACATGATCAATATAAATGAGTAGTTCTACAACATCATTTCTGAGTTTAGATATAGATTTATGTACATCAATGTTGGAGCGTCGAGCCGATGGAATGACTCCAAAATTTTTGAAAGTGCTTCATTAAAAGAAATTTCTCCAAAGTTCAATTTTAAGAAATATTTATAAAACCATAAATAGAATGTGTTCTGGCTCTGGCAATCGATGAAACCATATCCTTACAATGTAACTGCAGAACAACACATCAAAGATTTTAATTACGAACTATCAAAAGCAAGAAGACGTGTTGAAAATGCTTTTGGTCATTTGCAATAGACAACATTAAAAATGCAGTGACAATTATAAAATGCATTTGTGTAATACACAATTTTTTAAATCAATACAATGTCAAAATTAATCTAAAGTGGCAAACTAGCCAACTACAATATGAAAGGAGGAACAACAAAAGACAGTCGGAGTACCGAGATGTCATCGGTGACCACGATTTTAAGGCTCAAAAAATACGAACAGCTATTCCGTATTTTATTAGTGAGTATTCAGTTTCGTATTTTTTTTATATAAAATATACTTATTTATGTATTTATAATTTGTAACTAAAACTAAAATAATTTCTTAACTATTAATTACACTTAAAATTAAGTCTCAACTAAAATTATTATTATCAAGTTATAAGTAATAAATTAAAAAGATTTATTTTTTCTTGCGATCTTGAATGCAGGTCAGCATCTTAATCATTATTTCATTTCGCTGCCTTTCAAGCTGAAGCATTTCCTCTTGAGCTTTATTCGACTGCTCTTGATTGTGTCTCATCGCGCGAATTTCATTCAAAATATCCTTGTTAGTAGTTTCAATACTTTGCAGTAACGACAACTCACTTTTTTTTGCAGATTCACGTTCTAACTCAGGAGGAAGTGGTGATTGTGGTATTGATGTTGGTGATGGCAATGGTGTTGGTGTTAGCGGCGTTAATGGTGATGACATCGGTGTTGACGATGGCACTGAGATTAACGTTATTGGATATATCGAACTATTTTCCGATTTATAAACTGTAATAAAAATTTCAATTAGTTTTAAAAATAAATAAATACTTAAAAGAAATAACAAACCTGCACTCTCTTCAATTTCACTATCCATATCCTGCACATTACTGTTTCCAATTATAGCATTTATGCGATCAAAATACGGCCAATCTGAACGCGACCCACCTGACGTCTCCATTTTGTCCTTCTCCTTCCTAAAATATCAAAATAATATTTTTGAATAGAACATAAATTTAATTAAACTTACTTAAATCGGTTCGTCAAATTATGCATTTTAAACTTCACTTCGTGGCTATCAAACTGCATATTTCGTCCCACCATTTCGGCCGCAATTTCTGCGTATATATGAGCATTGCGTTTTTGACCGCGCAACTTCGGATATTTAATATCCCATAACTTTACAAGTGCTTCCTCCTCTTCTGTCGTCCACCTCATCCGGCGCTTCTTTCGTGTTGAATTACTGATAATAAAATATATAATAAATAATATTGCAAAAGTAATTCACAAAATTTGTTCCTACACTGCCATAGTTCCGTCTCTTCGTACCGAATTTCTGTAAATAAAACATATAATTACAATTATGTACAAAAAAATTATAATATAAATTTAATAAATAGTTTTATAACAGAAATTAAAAAAAATTTTAGTTATAGTTATGTATAAAACTATTATAAAACAAATTTAATAAAAATTGCACTCACTTCGGTATTTTCAAATTGCAATGTTTGTTTTGAATAAATTTTGACATTTCTCTTCCAATTCTTATCGTAATATTATAATATCGTAAAAAAAATCTACGATGTTAAGACATTTGCAGAGTTGCACAGAAAAATAATCACCATTTCTAAGGAGATTAAAAATTAATCTCTACCAGAACGAGATTAATTTTTTTATTGGTAATCTGTGATTAAAAAAACAAGATCAGTACTTTAATCTCGATTGTTGTTTAATTAACTTTTAATCTCACAATGTGAACGCAATATTAAGTGTAGTATCGTAGTAAAATTCAAATAAAACACAAGTAAAGTATAAACTCAGAGCGTAACACAAACAAAGTGCCGAATTATGCTCTTTACACAGATTTTCACGGAAAAGCTTTGTGTGAAATCTGATGAGAACATCAGTGCCACGCAAATAAACAATACAAAAATTTAAATTCAGACCAAAACAGCTGATTCACACATCAACACAAATTTTACTTGAAATAAAATATACGAGTATGATCGGTGTAGCATTTTCAAATATCGAAGGGGTGTTACGCTCTCTCAGCTGCTCTCATTTACTCGAAAATTTGCTGGTGGAACGCATTTATGTATACACAGTGTTATATGAAATTTAAAGTTCCCGAAAATGACTCATTTCGAATGAGTCATTTGAAAGTGTTTACATTCGTCGTAATTCACTTGTTCTCATTTCAAACAACTGATTTTTCAACTTGCCTGTTGGTTTGATTTTTGGCCTGTGCCAAAAAAATGTTCGACGAAGGCTAAATATGCCTTCAAACTTTACAATATAAACTGAAAACTTATTTTTAGTTTCGATTAATTTATTTTTGGGAAGTAGAACTTACAAAAAGAGGTGCATCGTTATCAAGGATATGCAACCACCAAACATTTGTTCACTTTTTTTTGTAAATATGTCAAATGTAAATATATCAAAAACTTTCTCAAACTGCCATGAAAAGCTTTTATTTAAGGTATGTTCAATGTATTCATTTGCATTTGGAACATATTTGGCACTCATTCTAATCTCGTTGGAACGCATTTATACAGAATGAGATGCAATGGATCTAATTTGCTCTTGAGATTTTGTATGCTAAAACGAATCATTTGCTGGACATTATTAATTTTTGATCAAAATTAGCCATTTGAGGCCAGTGTTAATGCCGTATTAGTCCAAGTAACTACAATTAGCTCATGGAACAAACCTATTATGTGTACATGCGCAAGATTTACTGTTTGCGAAAATATTACATTTGACAGATTGCAACAGTAATGCCAATATCTTGCTTAGAGACTATAATAAGCAAGTTGCTGTTTTTTTTAGCACAGTTAAAAGATGCCGAAATTACCTAACATTAACTTATGCAAAATATTTTGCATGCAATTCGATTCTTTAATAAATATATTCGAAATATACTAGTAGTGTCACACAAAAGGATGTTTTTGCGTTATTACGTTGAACTCTATTCGGTAGCGGACAAATTATGTACAGTGTCTCGACACGAGTAAAATTCTTATTGTTTTCAATGCAAATTATAAATTGAAATTGAGAGAAAAAAAACAATATGACCGTTCGAAGTTCGGCATGAGAGCCGGCGTATTTGTGCCTCGGCACTTAAGCAAAGCATTGTTGTTTAGTAATAAATTTCAGAATTTGTGTCTTTTTTGATTTTATTCACTACGTTTACGCGAGCCTTAAAAGTTGTTTAAATGCTCTTAAAATCGATTTGCTTAAAAGCACTTTTAGCTTACTAAAAGTAGTTTAACATCACTTCTAGTAAGAAATGTCACTTTTAAGCATTGTGTAAACACCTTGAAAGCAGTTTAAGGTTTGAATTGTCAGCTGTTAACAGTACAAATAATAGGTACAAATAATTTGAATTTTATTACAAATAACACTAACCAAATAACTAAAAATATGGAGAAAAAAGGGAAATAGAAAGAAAAATTTGGATGAAAGAAGAGGAAGAATGTTTAATTAAAATATTTGCAGAAAAACAAATAATTAAATTGTTAGACGGCAAAAAATTTAAAAAGGATATTATTTATGAAATTGTTCGCCAAGAAATGGAAATCGCTGGATGGTACAGAAGTGTACAGCAAATAAAACAAAAGTGGCAGGAATTAAAAAGACAATGCTCTGAAATAAACAACATAATAATTGTTATGGAAACAGTTGCATGGAATACCATCCATTGATGTGCGAAATACTTGAGACAAGACCATAATCAGTTCTTGTAAATAACGGGTGAGATACTCTAGATATTGAACACCTAAATGGTAATTTATCATAGAAGTAAATATCTTGCTACCGAACTATAATTTTTTTAATTGCAGGCGAATGGAATGAAGAATATTTGAATGACAACACATATGAGCACAATTCAGACTTTGAATGTAATTCTATAAGATTTTAGTGCAGAAAATGTAAATAATGTAGATGAAACGAATTCGGAGTTAGAAATCAGTTGTTTACTAATAGATGTCTTGCCTTCGACGTCCACTTCATCAAATACATCCACATCGAGTGGATTCGAGTAGATCGATCGAAGGGCACAGGAAGTTACGCAAAGGCGTTGTCCAGCTTTCATGAAAGTTGGTCTCGCGAATGCAAAAGTATGATTAACCGGCAGGAAAAATTTTTTAGTGAGGAAGCGGGAAAACAGCGTGAATTAGAAACCAAAATAGTGTAAGAGCAGCGTAAGCATAATGAAAATTTGGTGCGTAGTAGCAATAAAGCAATTGAAAGCGCAATCAAAAGCCTAATTGAGTCCCAGAATCATAAAAAAATAATTAAAAATGTTTATTTTTTATTCTCTATTTAAAAATCTTAACTTTACAGTAATGGTCACTTTATATTTAAAACATTTTAGTTTAGTTTAAGTTTATTATTTTCAATTATTTAAATTTGTCATTAAACTCAAATTGTTATAATTATATTATATTATATATATTATATTATATATATTATATTATATATATTATATTATATATATTATATTATATTATATATATTATATTATATATATTATATTATATATATTATATTATATATATTATATTGCTAGTTATAAATAAACGTACAAATTAATTAATTAAAAATTGGTTTTTTCTACATTATTTTTTTAATTGCTTCTATGTAGAAGTATATGATCTCGTATAAAATGTCCGGACGACGAATTTTGTCGATTGTACATATATTCAGGTTGGGGGTATTCACTTTCGCCGTGGATTCTTTCTACATCCAATGAGGAATTATAACGTTGTTTAGATATCTCCACAAAATTGTGAAGAATTCCGCACGCTATTATCACAAGCGGCATATTGTAAACATCCAGGTCGCTCTTCTTATAAAGTATTCTCCATCTTCCTTTCAAGCGACCAAATGCTTGCTTCACAACAATTCGTGCTTGATTCAAATATAAGTTGAAGGATGTCTCTTCAAAAGTTAACTCGTTCCTATAATTTTTCATAATCCAGTTACAAAGCGGATAAACTGCATCACCAATAATATAATAAGGAAGTTTAAAAAGCATAGCTTCATTTGAGGCGTTGTAAATTCCACCGATTTCCCTATGGTTTTCAGGAATTATTGTATTAAGGTTTTTGTATAGAGAACTGCCCCTAAACATTGATGCAACCTGTGCACAGCCAAGATTATGTGCTGGAATATTTCTAAATAAATATTGATCATCCACAATAGCTTGCACTGCAATGGAACTATAACCCTTTCTGTTACGAAAGTCTGCAGCACCGTTTTGTGGTGGTTTAATTGACATATGAGTGCCGTCTATAACACCAATAATATTTGTCAGTTTAAATTTTTGTTCAAATCTCGAGGCTATACGTTCACATTCTGATGCATTAAAACTTTACTGAAACTATGAACATATAAGCAAACAGTACTCTTTGATACTCCAAATCCTTTTCCAATTACACGGTATTCAGCACAAGAGCAAGTTTGTAAACTGCAATAGCTATTTTCTTTTCAACAGGTAACCCTTCAACGAAAGTATTTCCTTAAGCAAATCTATAAGCCTGAAAAATATTTGCCGATTTATTCGAAAATCAGTAAGCCGTTGTTCATCGTCATAGAACTGCAGAACTTCAACATCCCACTACTCCGAACTTCTCTTTCTTTTGCTAAAAGTTCTTATTCCTGGTGGAAGCTAAAAACAAAAGTGCATTGTATATATTTTATGAAAAACTTTATAAAAACATTTACATTCATTAAAGCCTCATTAGCGGAACGTATTGCCATTTTGTTAAAGAGCTCAATTTTGTAATTTTGTAAATTTTTTACGGGTTCTTTTTAAAATCTGCATTGTTACAATTTTGCTTATATTTTTTTTTTGCAAAAAAAGAAACAATTTGTAGTTTTACACTATTCACTTTTAAAATGTTCAAAATCAAGATTTCTGTTTACCGTTAAACAGCTGATTGATTGACAGCTACCTTAAAAGTGCTGTTAATTCTTGTGCGTAAACGCTTTAAGAACAAAGTTTAAAATCAGGTTTAAAAGTGATTTTAAGACTCGCGTAAAAGTAGTGGTTTTAAACATTTTATTTCGAATGTTGCGGTTGAGTATCTCTAAACGCGTTTCGGCAAATTCGCTTTTGCCGTCGTCAGCAGAATTCCTAATATAAAACATATCTAGCAAACTTACAAATTATTTACACTATTTACATGTTATTATTTAATATTAATTTAGGAAGCATTTTTATCCTTGGTGGTGACAGGTAAGAAATTGTGGCGGGGTTGGTTTGGTTGTGTTTTATTGTTGTTCAGGCTTCATTATACACAGGTAGTTTGGTCGACTGTTTGTTTTTTGGGATGTATCTAAAAGGCCATCATGATACGTAGCTCTTATCGCCGTTGAGTAAAGTTGTGGCCTTATGTTTGTGTATTTCCATCCTCTCTGCCGTTTTTAATTTCCAGCTAAGCCTTATATTATTGATTCTTTGGGCGTTATCTCTGTTGATGTTGTGATTTTCCTTTACAATATGTCTGGCGATATTTGATTTTATGTGCGAGTTTACTTTTTTCGGTGCTTTTCTTGCTTCCTTATGTGTTCTTCAAGCTTTACTGATAAGGGTCTTTTGTTTGTCCGATACATATTTTGTTACAGGAGCCAAACTTGATTTTGTATACTCCGCATTTTTCGAAGGGGTCAACTAGATCTTTTGCGAATGGCAATAGGTTTTCAAGTTGGTGTGGCCTACTGGAGTAAATTAAGTCGATATTGAACTTTTTTAATTTGAATTTAAGACTTTTGGAGCCGGTGTTGTTGTATAATACGGCGAATTTTCTTTGTTTTGGTTTTTCTGCTGTCCATGTCGTCATGTTCCTGGAATCTAATTGCCTTCGTTTCTTTTTTATGATTCTATCGATGATATTCTGGGAGTATTCGTTGATGTCTGCTATTTTCTTAATGTATGTGGTTTCTTCATTGATGGCTGCTTGTGTAAGGGGTAACGTGAGCATTCTATGTATCATGTGGTGAAACGCTGCTGTGTTGGAATGAATGTAGATGCTAAATTCGAAAATGCCATTTTTGTGTTGCGTAAGTAGGTTTAAGAATGGTAGGCAGCCGTTGTTTTCTCGTTCTTGCGTGAATTAAATGTTTTTGTGTGCACTGTTAAGTTTCTCTAAAGTTCTTTGTAGCTTGTTTTTTCTTATGATTGCGAATACATCATCTACATATCTGATCCATACTCTTAGTAGATTATTGTTTTCTTTTAAGCTGGACTCTAGTCTGCTCAAGAACAATTCGCTTAAGAGGGATGATAAGGGGTTACCCATAGGGGCGCCTTTTGTGTTATGTGTTAGCTGGATGTAATTAATTATTTTAATTTTGTTGACTTTGTTTTTGAGGAGCTCAAGAATCCTTATAGTTTCTTTCACGTTAGCACTTGGGTATAACGGCGATAAGAGCTACTTATCATCATGGCTTTTTAGATACATCCCAAAAAAACAAACAAGCAGTCGACCAAACTACCTGTGTATAATGAAGCCTGAACAACAACAAAACAAAACCAGACAAAGGACAAAAACCCTACCTAAATTAATATTAAATAATAACATGTAAATAGCATAAATAATTTGTGAGATTTCTAGATGTTTTTTATATTAGGAATTCACCTGATGAAGGCAAAAGCGAATTTGCCGAATACGTGTAGAGATAATTTTGTAAGTACTATTAACAATTATTATTAGATGATATAATAACAAATTAACAGTATTACAGCCTCTAACCTCTGACCCTACCAGCAAATTCAACCTGGACGATATAGAAATCGATAACGTCAATAGCTTCGCATACTTAGGTAGTATATCGTCAGACGGTGGCGCGGCAGTCGACATCCAAAGCCGAATTAACAAGGCATGCTCCACCTTTTTGTTACTGAATAAGGTTTGGAGCTCACCAAGCTGCGGTTATTTAACAGTAATATTAAGAGCGTTCTGCTCTACGGCTGCGAAACAAATGCCTTAGGAGAATTCTGAAAATATGGTGGCGCCGCACTATTAGAAATTCCGAACTATGGTCAAGATGCTGCCAAATTCCTATAACAAACGAAATCAAAAAGCGTAAATGGCAATGGATCGGGTACACTTTGAGGAAGGCACCAAATGAAACTGCAAACAAGTATTCATATGGAATCCACAAGGAAGCAGAAGATCTAAAAGGCCCAAGCAAACGTGGAAGCGAACACTATAGAAGAAAAAATGAAATCCAAGCAAGCTGAAAAACCCTTGGAGAAATTAGAACCCTGGCAAAAAATTGTGACAGTTGAAAAAAGTTCGTCATGACCCAATGTTTCCCTGTGAATGTACTGGAATGATGATGATTACAGCCTCTATGAGTTTTTACTTGGTGGTTATTTTTGGTGGCAAATTGAAAGTTAACGTATCTACATTATATCTCATAGAAATTGAAAAATAGAATAATATATACTTTTTTTAACAGCTAAAGAACGTCAAAAGTCATATTGTGAGATCAGAACTCAATAAAATCATGTCCAAGGAATGTAAATGAGTGCAGATCTTTACAGAAACTTTACTCCTGCAATCAAAGTGGATATAGTTCTGGATATAGGAAAATCTAAGTGTATAGCATTTAGTTATTAAATAAATTTATATCAAAATTATGGTTTAAGTTAGAGCATAAGAGAAAATTGTAATTGCTGTGATGGTAAATTGAAGGAAATAGTAAATTATGTCGGTATGGCAGCGACCAGAGTTGATATGATGGTATTTACCATAGTTTCGAGTAGGGTAAATTAGATAAATTAGGTGTTACCATTGTGAAAATTGGTAACACCAAAGATGTTTAATAAATAAATTTGAAAACTTTTAACCAAAAATAGTAAATAGGTGTAATTAATAAATATTTACATATGTGCAGTATTAAAAATCTCTAGGAAATTTCAATTTACTTTATCTCAGTTTACTCGAACTCGTCCACGGCCATAGTAATGGATGATTCAATTTTTATATGTCGTATTAATAATTATTTATAATTCCCATATATCGTTTGAGTCTAACAAATGCAACCCTGCATAAGCTGAATAGCACATAAGTAAATACTGATAAACGGGGTGGGTAGAAGAATTCAATGCATTCAATTCGTTTGTCAAATCGTTTTTACTCGTTCGGAATTATTGAAAATTATATTCAGTTGGAGTGTAAAAATAAATCTAGAAGAATTAGATTAGTTTAAAACCTCAGTAAGTGTGTACAAATTCCGAAAATATTTTTTTTCAGAAAGTGCGCCAATTATTTTAGATATATCTTACTGCTGATTAAATGTCAATTTGACATCTTCGACGATGAAGATCTGAAGAAAGAACAATTTTGTGACATTCGACGTTTGTCCAGTTAGATTGTCAACTTCAAAATCAAGTAAACAATACAAATTCTCAGAAATGTTTATATTGAAAGGCATTTATATAAACTATAAATTTCGATGAACATTATATGCAATTCCGCCATCTTGTACCAAATTTTTGCTAAACGTTTTATGCAATTTTTACGTTGTCTACTATAGTTCACATTAATTGTTTTTAGTTTCTATATATAAAAAGAGATCGTTTTACATATTTCAAGAAACGAGTGTAGATTAATTTTACTTTATGATATTGTTGCCTGCATAAACGTATAATATTGTAGCAATGTTCACCCAAATATACACATTCGTCAATGGTTATTTTAGTAAATTTTATATATATGTTACGTGACCGCCATCTTAGAATTACAAGCGCGTTTTTATTTTATTTTGTATCTCTTTTCTGTGCACTTATTTGGCATGAGGCCATTGCGGTCGCAGCATTGCGGCCCAGACGAAAAATACTCTGACAGCTGTCAAGAAGATATATGCAGTAGTGTTAAGTTTGAAGTTTAAGTTAAAAAAGTAATTTTGAAGTTTTAATAATCAAATTCCTAAACCGTAAAAATTGACAATCGTTTGTCAAAGTCTCAAAAATTCGTAAGTTCAAAAACGTATTTAACATACACTTTAGAGAATGTAACCGAATGAAGCGTTACATTTTTTAATAAAAAAGTAGGCTCGAAATGTATGTCATCAAATTTTAGATTAAAAATGTAGCGATTTTATGTTTAGGGATTTTAGTGCATAATAATTTAAAATAAGTTTTTATAAATATTCAAATTTCACATATATTTATTTTCAGTTAAAACTTACAATCGGAGTTTGTAATAAAATTCTTATAATAAATATTTTAAAACAATGTTTTCGCCAGATATGCGGCATCAAGAAGAAGTAAATGCAGCATTAGATCGACAAATACGACAGGAAATTCAGGACATGGCTAATGAAGCAAAAATACAAGCGGACATTATTTCTCAAGAAGGTGAGAAATTGGTTTAATTTTTATTTATATTTATATTTTATTCATTTATAAATCAGGAGAGTTATAATTAAAAAATTGTTATACTTTTTTTTAAGTGTTGAAAATTAATAGTAGTAGGTTTAATTTAATTTTCTGTTATTAATTTGTTTGTTATTTAAACGCTTGCAATCTTTTTAATAATAAAAATAGTTTTTAATGTTTATATATTTATTTATCTAATTTATAGAGTTTTTTCTAAATAAAAATAGTCTATATATCGGATATTTTTTATATAAAAAGGAATATATAGTAATATACACATTAAAACTAAAAGAAAAATATTTATATAAACAATTATTTAGTCGAATTACGTTTTAAATAGGATTTATATGTATTACTTATTACTAATATGATAAATACGTTTCATTTATTTAGCTCGAGAACGTTTTAATTCTACATCGAGTGTTGAAGAAGTATCTCAGGACGAAATGGATCAGGACGGTGTTACAGTGCTTGGCATGGTAGAAGTAGACGAGGATGATAATGTTGACCATGAAAATATTGTAGAGGAGGATATGGGTGATATTACGGATATGCATGATGTTTCTGATTACAAAGACATGATGGAGTCTCAAGAAAGTAACATGGACTCAGCATCAATGCGTAAACGTCGCGGTAATCTTCCTAAATATTCAGTTAAAATTTTAAAACGTTGGTTATACGAGCATCGTTATAACGCTTATCCAAGTGATGCGGAAAAATTCACTCTGGCACAAGAAGCGAATTTGACAATATTACAGGTAATTCACGTTAAATTATTACAATAATTCAATATTGTACGTAATATCTTCATAAATTTTAGGTTTGTAATTGGTTTATAAATGCACGTCGTCGCATATTACCAGAAATGATTCGTCGAGAAGGCAATGATCCACTTCATTTTACTATTTCTCGTCGTGGCAAAAAGCTTAATAACAGCATGGGTAGCTCCATACACAGTTCGAGTAATGTACCAAATCCAATTACTGGAAGTCCTGCGTCAGAAGTTGTATGTATAAATGTTTCTAAGATGAAGTATTGTATTTTATATAAGTTTTATTTAAATTTTACTGACATAGATTGTGGGTGCAACTGAAGAAGTGCAAGGAGAAGAAGTGCATGATGGTGTAGCGAATGTACTCACTACCCTCTATCAGCAAGCGCCCAACGGACATATGGTTAAAGTTGAACCTGAAATAGATTATGATGATAATGTAATATATAGGTAATATAATATAGGTGTTTTATGTTTTAAATTATTTCTTAGATTTTGTATAGTAAATTAAAATCGAAACTTTTATTAGATGGCAACAAGCTATCACCGCAAATCCAATCGGCTTTAAGTCCCTTCATCCTGATATCCAATCTAAAATATTAACAAAAATTTGCGAAGGGCAACAACAACATAATTTTCAAGCTAATTCCTACACTATGTCCTTACATTCTCAAAATATTATAGAAAATCACATTTTTAAATTGAATCCTAAAAACGAATCTCAGTATGTAAATTCTATTCATGATTCTTCTGCTGCTTATCAAATTGAAAACAATATTCAAGATCCCTCTACTGCCTATAAAATGGAAAATGATATTGAAGAATCCTCTACTGCATATCAAATTGAAAACAATATTGAAGAACCTTCTACTGCCTATAAAATTGAAAATGATATTGAAGAACCCTTTACTCCATATCAAGTAAGAAGCAATATTGAAGACCTCTCCACTGTATACGAAATTGAAAACAATATTGAAGAACTCTCTACTGCTAATAAAATTGAAAATATTATTGAAGAACCCTATAGTCCATATCAAATGGGAAGCAATATTGAAGACCTTACTGCTTACCAAATTGAAAACAATATTGAAGAACCCTCTTCTGCATATCAAATTGAAAACAATATTGAAGAATCCTCTTCTGCATATCAAATAGAAAACAATACTGAAGAATCCTCTTCTGCATATCAAATTGAAAACAATATTAAAGAACCCTCTTCTGCATATCAAATTGAAAACAATATTGAAGAAGCCTATATTCCATATCAATTTGGAAGTAATATTCAAGACCTCTCTACTGCATATCAAATTGAAAACAATATTGAAGAACCGTCTATGCCATATCAAATAGAAAACAATATTGAAGAATCATCTATGCCATATGAAATTCAAAACAATATTGAAGAGCCCTTTATTCCATATCAATTAGGAAATAATATTCAAGACCTTCCTACTGCATATCAAATTGAAAAAAATATTCAAGAACCATCTATGCCATATCAAATTGCAAGCAAAATTGAAAAACTATCTATGCCATATCAAATTGCAAGCAAAATTGAAGACCCCTGCATCCCATATCAATTTGGAAGCAATATTCAAGACTTCTCTACCGCATATCAAATTCCAAACAATATTGAAGGCCCCTATATTCCATATCAATTTGGAAATAATATTCAAGACCTCTCTACTGTATATCAAATTGAAAAAAATATTGAAGAACCATCTATGCCATATCACATTGAAGGTAAAATTGAAGAACCATCTATGCCATATCAAATTGCAAGCAAAATTGAAGAACCCTATATTCCATATCAATTTGGAAGTAATATTCAAGATCTCGCTAATGCATTTCAAATTGCGAGAAATATTGAAGACCAACAAGATATGAGGTATTTTTGTTTTCCTGTTAAGGTATTTCTATCTTCTGTTAAGATATTTTTAATCCGTTAAGATAAGCTGAATGAGTATCGATGTTTGAGTTAGTGATATGAACTCTGCATACATCTAAATTAATTATAAATTTTTTTAAATTGATATTTCTAGATCTGAGGATGATAGTATCAATGAATACGACTCTTGTGAAGGGGTTAGTGAGGAGGAAGGTAAATTTGACAATTCAGATGCGTGGCAAAGTGTAATGAAGTAAGTTTCTTTTTTTATTTAATGCAGTTTTTAATACATATTTTTGGGAACAATTTACTTCTTATTAATTTTTTCTCTTTTTTTCAACATGCTATTATTTTTCATATGCAATATAATTTTTGATTTGCTGATTATTTGAAAACTTCAAAATTATTCTTCTACAAATTCTATGTACAACTTTTGATACTACTATTTTACTTCGTTTTTTACGTCCAACATTAATTTTACGGGACTGTTTTCAGTACCGAGGAAGTAACAACCACAAGTCCGACGAGCACAAAAAATACATACTGGACTTTGTCACACGTGCCTCACTCCACAACCGTATCAAATTCAAATGTAGCAGGTAAGTTAAAAGAATGATATCTCAAAAGTTGATATATAATAATATTAGCATATATACATTTATAACAGAGATCAGCCAAAATATACATACACATTTTTTGGAGTACATATGTTTATTCAAAAGAAACTAACTATTTTCGTACATTTGGGTTTTAAATATAGTTATTGTTACAGTAATTCAATGCAAATCCTATAAATGTATCTAAGGCCATAAATATTTTTATAAAATATATTGTATAATATAGTATGTCAAGGTGCGCTGACTCTGAGCTTCAAATTGGTAGGGGATGGTAGGTAGGGTTCGATTCCTGATACTTGCAGTCTCAAAAAATTATTTATGAATAATTAAATACAATAATTATTTCCAAGACCACTGATGATGGGTATCTGACAATACTCGAAACAGTTGTATGGTCAGCCAAAAATACAATTAATTAAAATAATATAAAATGCATTTTTGTTGTTGTAGTTCACTACTGTTCGTAAAACCTCTTCTAGAATTTTAATAAAAATCAGCAGATACATTGATAAGGTACTCGGTGACGTAGTCAATGCTTTGAAAGGTTCCAACAAGTACACATTTTCCAATAAAAAGTAAAGAGTTCGACTAAATACTAGAGTTAGGTAAAACCCAATTAGTATGATTATATAAATGAAAACATCGCTGATGTTGACAACAGTCATTACAGCTGCGTTATTTCAATAGATTGTGATATTGCAGACAGAATAGTTCAAGAGTGTGGGTTATCTATGACTAGAATTTCATAAATTCATTGGAATCAACAGCAAAAGCCAGTTGTTCAGGTTTTGTGCTTTTGTGGGGAAAAAATTAGGAGAGTACAAATATCAAGCAAACATACACCTGATTTCCTGTTCTTGTTGGGAAAGGTGACTGAGTTTTAGACGTCTATGTAGACAAGTGTTTGCCCGCACTCCCTTTTGCAAAATAGTCTACCATTTACCATACACCTAGTTTTTTTGGAGTTAAAACACTTTTATGTGATTCAACTACTACAACAACATCTCGTGGTTGAAATTTTAATTAAATTTTTTATTTAATCCACTCTTTACGGAATCATAATATTTTTCTATGCTTAAATTACTACAACAATAACTCGTAGTCAAATTTTTTCCTTTTCTTATTTTTTTTAATATTGAAAAATAATCAAAGATGTATATATATTTCAGATCACAATATTTTAGCAGCACAAGCCGCAGCAAATGTAAATGCTGTCGTATCCTCTGCTCAATTAGTTGAAGAAGAAGAGGAAGACGAGGAGGATGAAGATGAGGATGATGAAGTGGAAGCGGAAGCGGAAGAACAAGAAATTGTGGGCGCTGAGGGAACTGTTTTTACATCCTCAAACGTGATTACAACCGACGATGACAACAATAATGTCAGTGAAACAAGAGCTAATTATCCGTCTGTGAAACTTAGCAATCCAAGCGGATGCAATAAAAGTAAGCTAATAAATATATCTCAACAAGAAATTTGTGAATATTTTAATACTTTTGATATTGTTATTTTCTTTTAGCGAGCTATCGCGATGAAAAGGACAAATTTAAATGTTTATATTTGCTCGTGGAGACTGCAGTTGCAGTACGTCAAAGGGAAAAAGTAAAAGATGATGAACTTCATGTTCTTGGCAATTGAAGATTTCTGTTTTAGATTTTAATGCGCGCAAACAGTTGAACGTTGAACAGCAATGTGAATAGTAGCCCATATTTTTGTTTTAAATTGATTATAATCATAAGTACTTTTATTCCCACCTCACAGAGAAGTCATGCATTTTAATATCTCTAAAAATTAGTTTAATTTCATTGTATGTACAGAATATTTGTATATATGTTTAAGAAATGTTTGTAGGCGACTATTTGAATTGTAAAATAAACTAATTACTATAATATTAAGAATATTTAATTGTTAGATGTGTATATCATAAAAACCATTTGTAATTTAAAATAATTATTTAATATTCGTACTATTAAGAAAAAAAATTCATCTCACACATACGTTTACACTCATAAAATATTTCATATTTAGTGAAGTGATAATTTTTTATTTGTGCTAAATTGTTTAAAAAAATATATTTTCTATTAAGTAATTTGTTCATTTCAACTTTTTATGCTACAATAAATTAACAATTTTAAGTAATTTTAAAAGCTCTAAAGGTAATAAAGTAAAGTAAATACATCGTTAAATATTTGCATTAAATTTTGAGTTTATAGTCAAAAAATGAGATGAGAATTACGAATGTAAAGGAAATCTTTTTCTATTCATGTTGAGATTTAATATTTTTATATAGTAAATAAAAATAAAAATTTATGAAGTGATTAGAAAGCGTTTGAAGGAGTACTGATTTGGTATAATGGACAGAGAGATGTTCCCAAGCAATCCTCTCTCATTTCATACTTTCCTTACCCAACCATATTTTAACCCATGTATTTGTATTTATAATTCCTTTCATGTTATCTGCCCTATCGATTGTCATGAGCTATCACAACAATAACAGGAGATTGAAATTAAAAAGGTATAAATCTAATTTAGATAAATTTAAATCTAACGAAAAGGGAGCTTTTCTATAAAAGTTTAGGATATTCCATTTGAAGCTATAATTCCTTACTCAGCATATTGTTCTGAATTAAAAAAATTTAAATGTTTTTTTGCTAAATAGTTACATCCACTGATGTACGTAAAGAATTTGGATCACAAGAGTGGGGGAGTATACCCACAAACATGACCGGTGTTTTGGTAAATCCACTATCAAACATTGTACCGCAACAGACAATTGACTTAATGGCATATGGTTGCTATTTTTATGATAAAAAAGAGCATGAGAAGTAAATCTTCTGGATTTGGGAAATAGTAATATTTATTTCCAGTTTCTAAGTATCAACTAATCTCTTTACTTATGTAACTACGGAAGATTCCGAAGCCTGTATCCAGAAATTTACTTATTATAATTATATTAACTTACTTATAATTTACTACTTATTACCTTCTAATTTGAACTTCTTAATTTGCTAAATGAATTTAAGACGATAGGGTGGAAAGTGAGAGAGAGCATCAACATTATCCATGCTAACATTTAGACCAATAATCTCAATTTCTTGTAAATAGAAGTCAATAACAAACGAGACGTGCTGTGTTATCCATATCCTCAAAGCGTAATTTACATAGTGGAGCCGTGGTGATGCTCATAGTGGCTACCCAGGGCCGAAATTAGGAGGGACGTTGATATACTGATGATATTATATATTTTAAAGTGTGCTAAGGCACCCCTCTTTAGTACTTTTTTCTTTTTCTTTTTGGCTTATATTAGCTAGTATATTTCATCCCTAGTTCATTGAAGACTTAATTAGATTTTGTTCACAAAAAAAACAAATTTTAAACTTTTCTTGTAAACAATATTAAATTTTTATTCAAAACAATAAATTTTTTATTCAAAACAACATTTTGAAAACTACAGAGAGCGAGTGCCCCCTGCCCCTACCTGTGTACACCCATGAGTGGTCACCATTGTTGTGTTTCAGAACCGTGATTTAAGCAGACTTAAGTCATCAACTTTACTGTCTTAATTCATATTTTAGTGAGTTTTGCAAGTTAAGTCACGACCTAAATTAAAAAATTCAACCCTTAATTACACAACATAAATATTTCCATGTACTCATCATCACTTTTACCGGTTTGTATTACCCTAGAGACCATTAAGAGAAGTACCTTCCACCATTTTTTGCCTATAATAATACTTATAATAAAAATAAATCCTCGGAATTCATCAAAAGAGACCGCGTGAACACTGCAAGGCTTACTGCACTTCTTTCTGGTCATTGATGTGTAGGAACTCACGCAGAGAAACTGCGCATTCCACATAACCCTCACTGCAGAAGTTGTGGAAACCCGCACGAGAAAGAAATCATAATACATTTTCTTTGTGAATGACCGGCTTTGGCGTCCAGAAGATATAGGTTCTTATGAAGTTTGATAGTTCATCAAAATGTTCATGGGTCAAGACGAAAGACTTATTAAATTATCTAAATTCGGGGGGATGGATTTAGTTTTTATTCTTCTATACTATGGTTCTTGCGAGGAATGTGGCAGCAAAACAGCGAAAAATCTCTAATTGAGGTACATGGAAGTTATCTAATGGTCTGCCACTGCATCCAACCAACCAACCAACATCACTTCCCAACAAAATTTTTTTAACCGCTTCGCATTGTGTGCTGATGAAGCTCATCGCTCTTCTTGCCAATATGGTTCTCTATAGTACTTGAGTGCATTATTTCTTAATAATACCAAGAGCTCTATTCTCGCTTTACGCTGAATGCTTAAAATGAGTTTGAAATAACCGTTTTCGTTGCACCTTCCTTGTAACGGATACTGAAAATATTTTGATGGCTGTTCAAGCGTCCAAAATATAACGAGAGTAAAGCGCTTGCTTTCAATGACATAACAAGTGAAAAGAAACGTCACTTGTCACTTTGGAGCGTATTGAAACTGTTATTAAAGCAATCGGTTGCTTAGTGTCTTATTACAGTAATTTTAGCAAATATTTGAAAGGCTTTTAGGTTAAAATAAGACAAATAAAAAGTAAATTAGGATTGAAGTAACTGTCATTTGTATGTGTAGTAAACGATTGCAGTTTAATCCTGCGCTGGTCATTACTTATGTTTTATTATATTTTCAAGTTCCGGAATTACTTTAAAATTTAGTTAATTTAGTTAATGAGAAATTTGACATTATTTCACATTTATAGTTCAGATTCCATGCATACATACCATACAAAACAATATCAAGAAAGCAACAGTCGTAAAAGAATAAAGTTTTGGCAGTGAAAAGATAAAGATTTTTTATAAAAAATTTAACCTTTATCTCATTAATTAAAATTTAATTAAGATAACTTTTTATAGTTAAGGAGATTTTTCTCCTATGACAATATATCCATTTCCAATAGAGTAGATCAGTACTGTCCAAAGCACGACCCACGGGCATCATGCTCCCGCCGCTAACATTTGGTATCAGCTCCCAACGGAATGGAGCACTGCGGCAATAGTTGATCTTTTGTGCTGGTAACATTACATTATTTTATTTTAGTGGTATCCCAAAATAAATAAATTAAAATGTTTTAAATAATTTATTACACTTGACGTTAATTTACTTAATTGACAAAGACTTTAGTATATATTTCTTTGCACAATTGGTTCAAAAAACTCGTATTAGGTACCGTAAGTGATTACAGTCCAGTTACTTAAGTCTAATCAAATATAAATATTGTTAATATTGATAAAATTGTAAAAGATAATTAATAAAGAACCAATAAAACTAAATTTAATATTATCGACCCTCCAACCTATTAAATGATTTGAATTGAGCCGCGGTCTTATTTAGTCTGGACAGCACTGGATTAGATCATAGTGACAAAGTTTTCAAATCCAAAATAATTTTTAATTTTTATTTAAGTGAATTATTGGACTGAAAATACAGATGCCAAGTATACCTCCAAATATTAGTCATCAGTGGTACCTGGAAACATTTATTGGTACAATTGTCCCTATACTCGCATCTGGAAATTTTTTATTGGTACAATTTTTCAGAATGTGTCAGAAATCAAACCTACCAAATTTGAACTCGTGTGTTAGCACACAAAGCTAATGTATAATTAATTTGATTTATTTAAATTTAGAGTTTCATCAATTTTGTTGTTCATTTGTAAACAAATTTTGCACTAACTGTGTTATTAATTAGAACAAATGCGTAAACCACAGCTATATAAATTAGTTAATCATTGTAAATTTGTTTTCAAATCTTAACACTATTATTTGTACAAAATATTTATTTATTAATACCTATTTATTATTATTTATTTATAAATTATTTATTTACTTAATTAAATTTAATTTATTTTCTCCATAATCAATATTTGACTTAATTACTTTATTAGATTAATTTTGTGGTATATATTTTGATCAATTTTTGTTAAATAACTACTAAAGTTTAAAAGTTTTAAAAATATTAAATCCATTTCCTTTTTTTTAATATATTTACTTATAAATACATCTGCCATAAATACATCTGCCTTAACTTATATTTCAATTTTAAATTATATTCAAGTAAATTTGGCTATTTATAAAGATGCAAAAGATCCGCTGCAAAAAGAAAAAAAGTTGTTGAAAAGTTAATAAACTAAAATAAAAATAATTGAAAATTCAGAAATTTGTTTTTCCACTAAAAATGAATTTCTGTATTTCGAATTTATTTTTATTTAATATTTTATAAATTATAATTTTTATTTTATAATAATTTTTTAAATTCAAATTTTGCAGTAACAGGGAGTGTCCAATAAGTAAAACTTATTTTTAGCAAATACAACAACCAGATCTACAACTATATGTATCCTTTTTTCTCACCAGAAGTTGCCTACTTCATGCAACAGGTGGTTTCGTTGAAGTATGAAAGCGAGAGCAATATAACAAAGAATTATAACGAAATGCATTTTAAAAACAAATTCACTAACGTTTATTCAATGAGTTTTGTTCGAAGTGAGTGGTCGTCATTGCGGTCGTTCGAGTGTTGTCATCTTTTGTTTTGGTGTTTGTAAGTAGTGCGTGTTAAGTGAATTTGTTTTTGTTATTAAATTGCAACAATTTGAACGGACTTGACATTTTGCCCAAAAAACGATTGTTACGCGAATCCGTACGCGTAATTTGGCATTTACCATAAATTTGTTAAATTTTTCCAATCAGTCAGTTAGTCAGTCAATTGCATTAAATAATTTCACTATTTCGCTGCTTCGCTTTTACCAATTGTTTGTGTGCAGGTGTGCGTTGCGTGTTGAGAAGCGGAAATTCAAATTGACGTGTGTGGAAAAGTAGTTAATAATAAAAAAAAAAACAAAAACAAAAAGAAATAATTTAGTAATAAATTATTGAGTCATTTAGTGGTAAAAAAAGCAAACTTTCAATTTTTGTGTTAATAAGAATTACATGAAATGTTT